ACAGGAAATCCCTGCAATCTCTGATGGATCATCACTCAAAAACCTGCCCAAATACAGTTAGATACACAAGGTAGAGTAACGCACGTCACTCCTCCTGAACCAAGATGCAGGTTTGTCTAAGTTTCTTCAACATTTTTTTTAAAAATCAGTATTTCTCCACTGCCTGCTTATCCTTGCTCTTAGGGCAACTTTTTCGAGGAGAGATGATGAGAGGAGGAGGGGAACGGTGAGATAATAACATAGCAATTTTGTGTCTTCTCCACAAAAGCAAAAGAGGCCCTGGTGCATAATGGCTGCAAAGATTTCCGTTGCCATTACAGCATTGTTCGCTTTTGTTGGATTTGATGTCAGTCAAAAAGCTATAGCCCTGCAAATCACTGTGCCTGGAGGTTCTCTTGGCAGCAGAAAAGATGCCTTATTGCTCTACATGCAATTTGACTAATAATTGCACCGTTTATAATCGCTCCTGCCTCAACTCTCACCAATTAGCAATGGAATTACACCCAGAGAGGGATCATTTTAAAGGTCGTGAACCAACAGGAAATTGCAATGATCTTATCAGTGTATGATTACAATTTATTCAAAACAGGGTTCATTATGAGCCTTGTTTCTTAGAGCTTATTTATTCACGATAGGAAAACTTAGATCTAATCATCCTTTGATCGGTTTTGTGGTAGTGTATTTCAATGAAGAAGCACTACTTCAGCTTTATCTCATCAATAAGTTGTAAGTTACTCAACAGGTCACGATTTAGGGGGGACGTTTTTCTTTAGTTTGTTTAACATATCTCATCTTAAAATGTAGAGGTTCATCAGTTGGATTGTCATAATGGAGTAAAAATGCAAGTGGGGTACATCAGAAAGTAAAGGGGCGGTGATGGCGAACTCCCTAGGGACTTGGCTTGGCAACTGGAAGGTCACCAGCTCAAGTCCTGGAAAGACCAAGTGCGACCGAGGTGTCCCTGAGCAAGGCACCCCGGGCACCGTACATAATGGCAGCCCACTGCTCCTAACAGGATGGGTCAAATGCAGAGAAACCGTTTCGATGTTACATAGTACCTGTACTATGTAATGACAATAAGTTGAATCTTCTTCTTCTTCAGACAGTAAAGAGTACAATTTAACAAAAATCAAGCAACGGGAAAACTTTCCAAAGTTTTCTATTAAGGCTGTCACTTTATTTTTCTTTGCCACCTGCTTCAATCATAAATTCCCTGGAGCTTTTCTCGATAAGGTGAGCAGCAAAAAATTAATATGATAATAGTAAAAAATACACAAAAGGCAAATCTACCCACATAAATGAGAAACACAGCCAGGGGTGAGTAGATAAGGAGCAACACAAGAATGAAAAGCATAAAGGTGTAAATGTTCCACAGGTATAAATATGTATTATGAACCTTCTCTGCTGGTGCATTGCTGTGGGCTTCCAGTTTCCTTCATGGAAAATAGCCCCAGATGCCATGTTTAAACCAATCACATTTGCCCCCAGGCAGGTGGTTTTTGATGCAGTGGAACAGTGTAATCTCAGTCAATCCTTTTGTGTGACTGCTGGGGCTTTTGGGTCAAATATGAGGGGAGAAATCCCCAGGAAACAGCAGTCATAGCCTGTGGATACAAATATGCAGTAAACCTCTAAAAACTACCATTTGTGTCCAAGTTCATCAATGCAAATGTTGCCTGATTGTATCTAAAACACCTTTCTATATTCACATATGAAAGGCAACTTGCTTTTTGATAACATGATTTCACATGACTTGCGCTGTCATATTTTAGCAGCAACGGGAACTGTAAGATATCACGTTGTGGATTTAATTAAACAGCAAGTGTGGGCTGTTAACAGATGGATGGTACAGTTATCAGGGAAGGGACTTATATTTGTTTGCTTTAAAATGCTTTCTATCCCCCTTTGTGGCCTTAACTATTTGACAAAAACAGAAAGGGCACGGAAAGATTTGTGAAGTTAATGTAGGATTCGAAAATGCACTGTGATGTGCACCTGATCAAGCAGAGGATGAAATGAGGGGTGGACGTGGACTGCAATAAAATCACATGTTACTGCTCCAAAGACCAAAATTGATAAATGAGGGAGGTTTACAAGATAATAAAAACATGTGGCTGATTCCTTCCTACTTTAATTACCAAATCATTTTAATATACTATTTCACTTTCCAGTTGGACACTGTACATGCTTGTTAAATGAATCAAGAATGTCCGTGTAGATTATTAACAATTACAATTGCTTTTGTAAAAAACATCATGGAACATGAAACTCCACGTCCTATATCAGGGAAAAAATACCATACCACAGCTAGATCCATGCCCAAAAAAAGATATTGTTATTCTTTTATACATGTTCACACATTCATTTACAGGATTTGCAAGTGATACTGCAGACAGTGAATGTATTGTATTCAATACCCCATTAACGTGCAGGGTCAAATGGTTGTGTGAACATGTACAGTTAAAGGTTTCTGTGTATACACAAGTGTGTACACAAACATGTATTTATTTTAAAGTGAATGCCCTTTGTTGCATTTTTTAACACATACATTATGCAGGTCAGTTTGAATGTAAATTACTATAACATTTGTATCCTGTTAAAGCTTGAAGGACAGAAGTTCTGGATGCTGCTTGCCAAGCAAATGTTACTGTTTAGTGTTGAGTAGTAATCCGCCTGCCAAACTCTCTAAAGACTTACTTCTACATTACATTGCATTTCTTCTGACTGAAGTAATATTCTCTGTTATAGTGAGGCATAATGGTCTTACATACAATTGTGCTGTGAGGGCGGCATTATTACAGTCCCAGAAAACAAAATAAATGTGAAATACAAGCACGGTTCAATAATGATGCTGCTCTTAGTTTAAATAAAACATTGATTATCCTACTGTGAGTCAAAAGTAAAACAGCGCATTTCATTCTACAGCTCGTATCACAGAAGGTAAACAACACCGTAGAGTGAACGTGTGGAACTCACACGACGAACATTTCTGCTAAAGACCGGGCAAAGCAGTACCCCGATGTCTTTCACGAAAGTGGGGGGAAACTATTCTGCACCCCGTGCAACTGTGTGTTGGAGCATACGTCTTAGAGAAAGTCGACGGTGACGACCCACTTTGATTCATTCAAACATTCGAAAATGCTTTCTGCTGCTGCGGACAAGAAAGCCAAACAACTCACGCTTACCGAGGCATCAACCTCCAAAACCCTTTCGAGGGCTACAAGAAACGAAGTGAGTAGCCTACAAGATTGAAGCTGGTCAGATAACGAACGAGTAAATGAAAACAGAATGAGGCGGAGAAGTGTGTGCGTGTGCGTGTGCGTGTGCGTGTGTGAGAGAGTGTGATTAAAATAGCCCCATTGCTTTTACAATAAATAAACATTGAATGTGTTTAATTGGGGTTTAACGTTAGTGGCAGGTTGTGTGTGAGAGAGAATAAATAAGACAGCCCAATATTTAAAAAAAAATCTATTATTTTTGCAACTTTCCGCATATTTCGCAACTTCCCGCAATTTCACCGCATAAAATCACATAAAAACCCTGCATGTTTAATCGCATAATCAAGGATTTTAGCCCGCATAATTAAGGATTTTAGCCCACATAATCAAGGATTTTTGCCTGCGTTTTTCTGGAGGGTCTAATATTGGGTGAGAGAGAAGCCCTGCAGTGAGAGTATAGACATTTCCGAGTCACTCCCCATAGTTTGCTGGTAGGTCTGGAGCATATGTGGAGAGCTGGCTCACACTGAATGTTCAGAATGAATGAGCTGATCCCCCAGTTTTTGGTTTAATCGAATTTAAATGCCTTAATGACTTGGCAGTGTCTCTGGTGGCAGCTGTTAGAGGACTTTAATCAAGCAATGCAACTTTACTTAACTGAAAAATACATTAACTTAGTAGTGGCTAACTCAGTTTTTCTGCAGGCAAGTGTAAACCTTTTACAAGAGAGGCCGATGGCTGCTATTTACTTATAATCAAACATCTGTATCCACATTACACCTCATATGACTCAATCCAAACAGACCATTTCCTCACTTAGAGAGCATATAATGCATGTGTGCAGCAAAGACATACAATCTGTTTTTTAAAATACAATAAAGATATATAAAATAGAAATATATTAGGCCCTGCATTACTTTTTTGTCTGACTCATAGTGTTTAGTAGTGCAGCAGTTGAAATAAATCTCCAGTAGGAAGCACTAAATCTAACACAATCTTCATGTCTAACAAAGGGAAAGGGGCTTAATCTTGTCAAACACAGCACAGAGCAATCAGAGGGGCTGATCTTGAATGAGGGAGATGGATTATAATCAAATAGAGGCTCCGAGTCTGACGATCATCCTGTGGATTTAACGGTGGCTGTGGCACGTCCACAGACCACAGGAGTCGAATGAAAGAATAATACCACTAATATGGAAAGGGGTTTTTGTGGAAGAATGTTTCACTTTCAGTTCTTATTTAGTGCTATTGGGAGAAACACATATTCTTTGGGAATAACGGTGGGTTCCGTATTGTAACCCTAGTTATATAAGCACAGGCGGAGCCCTCTACTGGACTTTATGGGTACTGCCCTTGACCTCACTGAGAAATCTCTAAACTTAGCCGGCCCCCGGGGGCAGGCCTACCTGAGTGCGCGTGCAGGCCCACAGTATATAAGGTGGCCTCGCCTCCCGCCCGTCATCCTACACCCTCTTCAGCGAGCAGCATAGGACAGACAGGGCCCCTAGTAGAGGGCTCCGCCTGTGCTTATGTAACTAGGGTTACAATACGTAACCCACCGTTATATCTCACACAGGCTCCGCCCTATACTGGACTCTATGGGTACAGTGGGTGGAGCCCTGATGGATACACGCCCTGTCGTCCAACAGCCCATCACACTGCCCCTGACCGGCTGTTTGGTTAGCATCCACTGCACCGCAACCTCTCCTCACTCGGTTGTGACCGTGGAGGAGCCGGGGCCGCAGTTTACTTGGCTGATAGAGCACACCCAGACATGCTTACCTCGCGAAGGGTGTGCATGGAGAAAATAGTCCTTAGGCAGGCGGGGGGAGCCCTCCAGCCCTGTATGGGCTCACTGCGCATCATGTTTCTCAGGTCCCTAAGGAGCATGGGGAAACCATAAGTGCATTATGTCCAGGGGGTGGGGGGCGTCAGATACCTACTGACCCACAGCCCGCCTCCCCCCCCTCACCAGTCCTGTGTTGCCCCAGCAAGCACAGACGATGAGAAGGAGCCAGACATGCCCAACTAGGGACCCCCAGTACCGGAGGTTGCCCACCACTGACGGGGGGATAGTCACCCGCCACGTCGAGGCGGCTCACCGGCGCCGGCGGTAGTGGCGGGGGGAGCGGTAGCCCCACACGTCCCGCCTCGATGGCCATCACCAACGGGAAGTCCTGACGAGCGGACCTGTGCGCCGGCCCTTCCTGGACACCAGAACCGGAAGCCCCTGACATCGAGGAACCCTCGTCGTCATACCTCCGCCGGGATGGCGAAAACAAATGGCACCTCCTCATCCGCCTCCTGTTCCCCCATCTCCACCACCTCGAGGTCCACGCGGTCCTGTTCTTCCTCTGGCGACACGTAGTAGGCGTGGAAATGCTCCAGACGATGCCGGCGGCCAAGACGTGGCAGCGTGCGGCAGGCATTACACGAGGGAGACTGGGCCAGGCCGTCCACGGCGTGTTCAGGCCCCAGGCACTCAAAACAGAGGCGGTGGGGATCGGCAACTGCAATCAGGCCGGTGCACGAAGGACAGGGTCGACGTTTATAGATTTCTCAGTAGGTGAACGCTCGCATAGTTAGGTGAAGGGCAGTACCCATAGAGTCCAGTAGAGGGCGGAGCCTGTGTGAGATATAACTAGATCTTATATCAATGTATAGACTCCTGCATTTACTTGTTCACTTACAACATTCTCTGCACATTTAGCTTAATGTATTTTTTCATTGTATTTAGTTCACTACATCTGCATTACTTGAACATTGGTCTTGCAAGATAATCTTGCACTATTTTCTTGTTTTTTTTTGTTGTTTTCTTGTTTTATGTCTTGTATATATTATGTCACATTGTTGGAGGAGCCTGGGACTTAAGATTTCCATTGCCATATCCACACTGTAGCTACTCTGCATATGATAATAAAACCCTTAAACCCATGAATGCCATTGGTTGGAGCAGCAACAGTGATAGCAGTTACTGTAGCTTCAAATTCAAAATAATGTTACTTAACCGTTGTCTGTAGAATTTGTGAAGGTATATAAAAAAACACCAAAGCAAGACCTTGCTGAAATAGTGCTAAATTAAATGTATTTGTACATTATTAGATGTGTTAGCTAAACATTGGACAGGCATGCAGAGCCTCTCAGCAGAGGGTCAATCAGTTGGGTTATACAGCGGGCCTTTAGATTGACTTACACCCCTGATAAGGTGTGTTGCATTATTTATGGTTACCTGTAGTAGCTATTCATTACCCACCTTCCAATATCTGACACACACTGATGGATAGTTATCTAGTTAGAAGACAAAATATTCAATGGGCACATTAAATGATTTTAATGGATGGTTGGATAATGCAAGAGCACCTTGACTTGTTAGCAAGAAGCTCCCCAATTATCCGTCCGTCGGGGGGGATGCATAGTTTCTGTTCAGCTCCACTCGTTTGGCATGCCATCCTCTTAAAAAAATCGTGTTCAATAGTATATTTTTATCTTAAGAATATCTTAAAAAGTTAAATGAAAGATAATAAAAATAAATCATTACACCCTCTAATAGTATCATAATGAGGATAAACTTGAATTTGAATAATTGTTGATATCTTGAATGAACTGAATGATGCTACATTTGACTTAATTCTGGTAGTTTGATAAATGATAGACAACATGGTAGTGAACGTTTTAAAACCACCTTGTATGTACTTGTGCACACTGCACAAGTACATACAAGGTGGTTTTAAAACGCAGAGTTTGAGTCTTTATACTCTGATTTCATTTGAGCCCTTGCACATGTCCTTTGCATTATCTCCCCTAGGCCTGAAGTAATTGTCACGGATGTCAAGCTAAGAGAGAAAAAACAGCTAGAAAGCAGAGGACCATATCCAGGCAGGACACAGAGGACAAACGCCCAGCCAGGCGCTGCCTGGTGGGGATGTGTGAACTATAACAGGACCCTTCTTGTGCAGAGATCAGGAGCAGAGGTCTCACTGGGCTCTGGGTTTCATCCTGAAATCATATGTGTATGGACTCAGACATAAGAATGAATTTGAATGCAAACTAATGGATTTGGGCAGTTGGGAATTCTGTAAAATGTGCATATCATTGGAAATAAACATTCTCTGAGTACACACAATGTTATCTTTAGACATCAATTAAGATATAATAGCTTGCTACATTAGCCTCCTTCTGTGATAACAGCACTTTAAGCTGTACCACAAATAGTCACAACAGCAGTCGACTGGGAAGAAACAATGAAATCTATTCAAGGATAAACAGTAAAAGTGCTCTCCACACTGATCCTCAGTGTCCAAACAATCAGAGAGGTTGGATTCATTAGTGAGCAGATTTTCTTTCCTGTATGTGCTGAAACAAAGTGTATATGCTCTGCTGCTGTTTTTTTCGTTGGGCTAAAATATAAATGTTTCAGTGGATATGCAATTGTGCTAAACATCTATAGAAACCATAAATCATCCCAAAAAAAGTAGACGCACTTTTGGGCCATTTCAAAGCTCTACAGACGGTTCAGTAAGTTGAGAATGGAAACATGATTCAATGATAAAAAAAACACACCTCATTTTCTCCTCTGTTTTATGTAAGGTGAGTAAAGCTCCCCCAGGTGCACATACTGTATATATACACCCCCCACAGGACTGCTGCACATACACACACACCGAATTTTAACCTGTATACACTTAAGCCCTCTTTTTCCCTTCAATGCACACACCTATTCGTAAATAGGAGATGGAGGACATGTTTGTGAAATTGGCTTTGAGCTTTGAGCCCCTCAATAAGTCATGGGTGGAGTCAAGGAATTTGGGTTTGTGGCAGCAGAGACACTTGGAAAAAAGATAAACATGCTCAGCACTTTGCTTTTAGGGTTCATTACTCTGCCATCCCGGGTGAGCCAGAGTTGAGAAGAGGAGTTAATTCCTACGGAGTGAGAAAAAACACATTAACTGAGACCTATCAATCTTTCCGGTGCTGACACCTCCATTTAAATCTCTTATTTCTAAAAGATGTAGAGGGGAAATCTTCTTCTCAATATATGAGCCCCTGCATAGGGGGAGTGTAAATGTGTGCGATGCCTTTTGCAGTAAAAATCTTTCATTATGATATTTTCAATTTAAAAAGAGGCCAACATTTCTCGCTCTTTTGAAAAATTAAGTGCCATTTTCTGAGGATTAATCTCAGACATCTGGGAGTATATTCATAATACTAATGCAGGTTGCTGTGCTTTCATTTGCTCCGGGGAGTTAAAACTGCAATTTGGGGGTGGGTTTCTATTTATCCATCCAAGGCCCATATTTTAAACATGCGCCACATTAAAATTACACTTGACATTTCATCAACAAGAGGTCTATAATACCTGCAGGGCAAACTATATGTAAAGATGAAAAATGACATTCATAGCTGCTAAACTTCAGATATGTTCACAATGTTCTGATGAAATCTTTTATGGAAAAGTTTTTATCTCTTTACAGCTATTCCATGCCCCCCAATCCTCTCATTAATCTTAACCCAAATCTCCCGCTACCTGGCGATTATATATGCCAAGTGGTCTTGTCGTTGGGTCCCTGGTTACCCAGTGTAATGAGCAGCTTTAGAATGGGATATTCTGGGTTTAATCAAATCAGCCCCGGGTGTCACCAGCTCCCCAATGAGACCCGCTTTGTGCCATGGCGGCCAATATTATGCCCCATTAAGAAACAATGCCCAGCGCACATTAGCACTAATCAGAGAAGGAATTAAGAAGACTGGGGAGCCCTGGGTCAGCATCTAATGGCGCATTTCCACTGCAGGGCCTCGCAGGACCTCGCACGGCTTAGTATGGTATAGTTAGGCCTTGGTAGGCCAGGCTCACTTTATGCTGCGTTTCCATAACAGTTTAGGAACTGGGGTAGTAACTATAGTAACGCAGTGTAGGCGGAGCCGTGACGTCATCTTCAATGTGAAACACAAAACCAACATCAGCCGTTAGCTCTTAGCACTCAGAGCTCACAGCTCCTCATATCTGTTCAGAAACTAGACAAAAGTTAAAGACGTACAAACCACAGACTGTCTGTGTCATGGTGAATACTGTCGCTGGTTTATTTATGTCTGTATAGGCTGTTGTTGTGAGTGTGGACGGTCGGAGCATATACAACGTTAGCTTAGCCGATCTCCATTCAGAAAACACACATTTTAAAAGGTTTTTCGCCTGCCGTCTTGTCTGCAGAATTGTCAAAGCATTAATTCATGGTTTTTACTAACCGGTATCAGTATGTTGTTACTTCGGCATCATTTTGAAACGTGTATTACAATTAAATCACGGTAAAATATGTTAATTTTGTTGTAGTTGTAGCCCCCTTGCCAGCGAGTCTCTCACTAGTTTAGCATATTCAGCCCGGTTGTTGGCCCCGAAGGAACCTGGATTTTGGAGAGCCAGAAAAACTGTGAAACAGTACCCGTTAGTCGGAACTGCCCCAGGTGGTAAAGCAACAAAAAATGGGCCAGGTTTGGCAAGGCACGCTTAAACCGTGCTAGGCGCTGCAGTGGAAATGCGCCAATAGAGTATTATTAGAAGAGAGCCATGTTATTAGAAATACAATACTGTTGGGCAAAATAGATGTGGTTTGGCGGTTATTGGGAAACATTTGAGAATATTGTAGGGCAAATTAAAATAACTTGATGCTTTATATAGGCAGTGGTTCAGTCCATTGGACTTTGGACCAAAGGTTCACCGGTTCACATCCCGATCGGACCAAAGAGCTACGGACTGTGGACTGGGATCGGCTATCAAAATCTGAATAAGCAGGAGTATCAGCAACAGGGTGCTAGTTAGTCGATATGGTCAAGAATGGGGTCTATTCAAGCATTTGTTCGTGCGTCAATGGTTGGAATGGGGTAAAACATTTGATCAAAACATCCAATGTGCATCATAGGCCGTGAAGTGATCTTTTATGAATCAGCAGATTCCCCTGAAATATCAATCATGAGGTCATGCTAATGTAATTACCAAACTTTTCTCCAACAATGGAGAACACAACCTGTGCAACATATTATTGAGCAGCAAGAAGCATTACTCATTTTAATTTTTTGCTGAGCAAGATTTGAATACCCATGGTACATTGATTAGTACACTTGTGATGTATTTGGCACCGCTCAAACTGTACACACACGTGTGCACACTCCCACTGGACCTAACCTTCAGGGAAGCAAGACTTGCCTTAACAAAGTGGAAAATAATTTCCAATACATATTAATGAAGCACTGTAAAATCGATGCCCTTGGAACTTTATGATAGTGTGTGCCAATGCAATGCTGCGACAGCATCCTGTATATGCGGCTCATACTGTATTTTGGGGGCCGGGGGGGGACTGCTAGCCTGGTTCAACAATAAGAGCCCTCATATATCATGCTGGGCTCAGAGTGTGAGGGGCTTCTGGGGTCCATGTGAGTGACCCTGACTATGAAAAAGACTCATCTGGACTGATGCCACACTAATATGTGTAAGCACTTTTAAATTGTGGGTTGATTAATTATACAAAACACAGAGAGAGATTGAATCAATGATGTTTGGATGTGAAATTGTTCTCACGTGCACTTCAGTTAACTACTAAATGTGTCTGCACATGCACATGTAAATACACACACACA